TATGGACTTGAGGAAGCTGCTGACAGCCTTCAGCCGCTCATCCAGAGGGTCGTCTTGCTGCTGCTGCTGCTGCTGCTGCTGCTGCTCCTGCTGCAGCACCTCGGAAGATGCATGCGCAGCAGCAGCAGCAGACGAGAGCTCTTCTGCTGTTAAGCCCTCCAGCAGCCGCTGCACTTGCTGCTGCTGCTCCTCCCGCAGCAGCAGCAGCCGCTCTTCCCCGTCAGCTGCTGCTTGCTTCTCTGCTGCAGGAGCAGCAGCAGCTGCTCCTGCAGCCTCTGCTGCTGGCGCTGCTGCTGCTGCTGCTGCTGCTGCTTCCGTTGTTGCTGCTGCTGCTGCGGAGTCGTCACAAGAAGCTGCTTCTGCAGTCCCCTCGGGCTGCGCTGCAGCAGCAGCTGCTGCTGCTGCTGCTGCTTCGTTGGCCTCTGCAGCAGCAGGCGCAGCAGACGCAGCAGCAGGGCTGCCGCTCTCAGCAGCAGCAGCAGCTGCTGCTGCTGCTGCTTCCTGCGGCCGCTGCTTTGCTGCTTCTGCTGCTGCTGCAGTCTTCAGCGACAGCAGCCTAATGTGCTGCAGCACAGCCAGGTGCTCCTCGCTGCTGACAGCAGCAAAGGGGTCGTAGGCGGCGGTCGCTGCTGCTGCTGCTGCTGCTGCTGCTGCTGCTGCAGCAAGGGGCCCCTGCTGCTGCGAGGGGGCCCCCGGAAGCCGCTTCAGCTGCGAGGCCTCCAGTACCCCAAAGGGGGCCCCCGGGTCTAAACTTGGGAGCTGCAGGGCCATGGGGTAGCTTCCGTTGGTGGGCCCTGCAGGCAAACCCTAAACCCTAAACCCTAAACCCTAAACCCTAAACCCTAAACCCTAAACCCTAGACCCTGAGCCCTGCGGCTGCGCACACTCACACTTCAAAAAAGAAAACTCGTCTTGCTGCTGCTTGCTGCTGCTCCGCTCGTCCTGCCTCTGCAGCTGCTGCTCCAGCTGCTGCAGCTGCTGCAGTTGCTGCTGCTGCAGCTGCTGCTGCTGCAGCTGCTGCAGCTGCTGCAGCTGCTGCAGCTGCTTCTCCGCCACTGCTGCTGCCAGCGAATCATCTCCCGCATCTCCCTGCTGCTCCTGCCGCTGCTGCTGCTCTTCCTTAGTCCACAGACTGTCGTTCTGCTGCTGCTGCTGCTGCTGCTGCTGCGCCGCATCTGCTGTGGCTGCTGCTGCTGCTGCTGCTGCTGACTCCGGCTCTGTCTGGTTGATGTCGCTTTTGACTCTCAGCGCAGCAGCTTGCTGCTGCTGCTCGGCCAGCTGCAGAAGTTGTTGCTGCAGCAGCTGTTGCTGCAGCAGCAGCTGCTGCTCCTGCCCCCCAACAGGAAGAGGCGGTGCAGCAGCAGCAGCAGCAGCTGCCACAGTCGCAGCAGCAGCATCCTCTGCGCTGCCAGCGGTGTCTTGCTGCTGCTGCTGCTGCTGCTGCTGCTGCTGGGCCGCAGCCGTGTCCAGAACACCATTGGTCTGCGTTGCTGCTGCCGGCTGCGGCGTGTTGGACCCCTCCCGCTGCTGCTGCTGCTGCTGCTGCTGCTGCTGCTGCTGCTGCGGCAGCAGCGGCAGCGCAGCAGCAGACAGCAGCGCGGGGTGAGCAGCACCTGAGAGCTGCGGGGGCAAAGGAATTGCTGCCAGCGCAGCAAGAGAAGCCAACTTGTCTGCTGCTGCTGCTGCTGCTGCTGCTGCTTGCTGCTGCCCCTCGGGGGGGGCCCCCCCGGGGGCCCCCAACGCAAGGGGCCCCTCAAAGGGGGCCCCCGGGAACACTGGGGGGCCCCCAGGGGCCCCCGGAGTTGCTGCTGCTAAGCCCAGAGTTTCGAGAGCAGCAGAAGAGACAAAAGAGTTGTCTGTGGCATATCCTAAACAATCGGGCAGCAGCAGCTGCTGCTGCTGCAGCTGCTGCTGCAGCTGCAGCTGCAGCTGCTGCTGCAGCTGCTGCTGCAGCTGCTGCTGCAGCTGCGGGGGAAACGCAGCAACAGTCGCAGCATAGTCGGCGCCCAGCCCGCAAGCCTCGCCGCCCCGAGGGGCTGCTGCTGCTGCTGCTGCTGCTGCTGCTGCTGTTGCTGCTGCTGCTGCTGCTGCTGCGTTGTCCGGCAAAATCGCTGGGGCTGACGCAGCGTCGCCCACCGCAGCAGCAGGTGCTGCTACTGGTGCTGCATCAGCTGCTGCTGCATCTGCTGCAGCTGCTGCTTCTGCATCTGCTGCAGCTGCTGCTGCATCTGTTGACGCTACTGTGGACCCTGCTGCTGCAGCTTCTGCTGCTGCTGCTGCTGCTGCTGCTGCTTCTGCCTCTGCCGGAGCAGCCGTCGGCGAAACAGCGGTTGCTGCTGCTGCTGCTGCTGCCGCCTCGAGAGGCGCAGCTGCTGCTGCAGCAAGATCCCGCTCCTGTGGTGCTTCCCCCTGCTGCTGCTGCTGCTGCTGCTGCTGCTGCTCCTGGTCTGCAGCAGCAGCAGCGGGTGCGTCACTTGCTGCTGCTTCCTGCTGCTGCCTCGGTTGCGGCAGGGCACTGTGTGCTGCAGCAGCAGGAGACTCCACTACGCCTGCAGCAACTGCAGCAGCAGCTGCTGCTGCTGCTGCAACTTGCTGCTGCACATGCAGCTCGCTAGCCTCTGCAGCAGCAGCAACTGCTGCTGCTGACTCAAGGGCAGCAGCAGCAACTCGCTCCCTTGCGGGTGGCTGGACTTCGATTTGCTCAAGCATCTCTGCTGCTGCTGCTGCTGCTGCTGCTGCTGCTGCTGCTTCTGCTGCTCGCGGCCATCAGGCTAATCTGCTGCAGCAGCTGCTGCTTCTGTTGCTGCTGTTAGTGCTCAGAGTCCCCCCCCGCATTCAACAAAGCAGCAAGCATCAGCTTCTGTGCTGGGTGGCATGGCTTGCTGCTGCTGAGAGTGCTGTTGCAGAGGAGGGCCCTGTCTAGTGCTGCTGCTGTTGCAGCCCCTGCTGCAGAGTGGTGCTGCTTCTGCTGCTACTGAAGTTGCGCCGCGTTCGCCGCCGCAGCAGCAGCAGCAGCAGCAATAGCAGCAGCAGCAGCAGCAGCAGCAGCAGCAGCTGACGCCGGTGATGCGGTTTATTGGGAGCACTGCAGCAAGGTGAGAGAGCATTAAAGTGTGGAGTTGATCAGTCAGCAGCAGGAGTCTGCTGCTGCTGCTGCAGCTGGCGCTGCTGCTGCGGATGCTGCGGCAGTTCCTGCAGCAGCTGCTGCTGCTGCTGCTGCTGCTGCTGTTTTTGGCAACCCGGCAGCGTCATGCAGCACTCTCTGATAACCAATATTCTGCTTTTTAGAAAAACGCCTGCAATAAAGCTGCACTTGTTTCCTCGGGCAGCAGCAGCAGCAGCAGCAGCAGCAGCAGCAGCAGCAGCAGCAGCAGCAGCATGCGCCGCAGCTCCAACGGTCTGGGTGTAGCTGTGCTGCTGTTGCTGCTGCGGTGCTGCTGCAGCAGAGGAGGTGCTTCTGTGGGACAGCCAGCGGGAGACACACAGGGGCGAAAAAAAGAATTCGCGTTAAGGGTTTAGGGTTTAGGGTTTAGGGTTTAGGGTTTGCGGCGGGGAGGTTTGCATGCAGCGCGGCACAGGATGCTGGCCAAAGGTGGATGCGGCGCCCGGAGGCTCCGGGGGTCCTTTTGCCTCTTTTTTTTCGTTTTTTGCATCAAAATGAATTTTAAAATGCAATTAGTTTCATTTTAAACTCGAAAACGCGCAGTTGGAGCTGCGGAAAGGCCGCACGGGGCCGCGCGGCAGCAGCAGCAGTTGCTGCTTCCCCAGGTGCAGTCTGCAGGGCGGTGTTGGGGCCTATTTTTCCGCTCAAAACGCCAAAAAAGGCAATAAATGCTTTTTAAATGTTTTTAAGTTCCTCGAGGCTTCTCAAAGGCCCTCAGAAGCAGCCCGGCGCGCCGCGGCAGCGGGCTGCAGCGCCGCGGCGGTGTACAGACACCGCAGGGTTTTGCGAGTTTCAGGTGTACGTACACCCCGCTCCACCCCTCAAAAACCCCGCCTTTTGTCTTCTTTTTGCCCCGCAGTGTCTTATTGGCATTTTGAGCTGCAAGAAAAGCCCAAAAGGGCTTTTGGGAGTTTTCCGGAACTCCCTTGGCGCGGCTCCCCACTGGAGCTGCAGGTGTACGTACACCGCAGAGCCGCGAAACGCATGCATGCAAAAGCAGATAATAAAAGCTTTTTTGCGGGACTTTGTTTGCATTTGCTGCAGCAAACGTAAATAAACAAAATAAAACAAAAAGGGCTTTGTTTGTGCTCTTAAATTGCCAAAGAAATGCAATAAATGCGCCCGAGGCGTTCAAATCAAAGTGCTGCTCAAGTTGCTGCTGCTGCTGCAGCAGCAGCAGCAGCAGCAAACTGCGCAGGCAGCAAAAGGCAAAAGCACGAAAGCTGCTGCTGCACAGACACCTGGCTCAACTTGTCTTTTAACTCAGTTTTGTTTGCTGCTGAAGTGCCACAAAGTTGGCTGAGGCTGCTCAGCCAAAGAGAAGGGCAAATGGGCCTTCTCTGCAGCAGCAGCAGCAGCAGCAGCAGCGCTGCTGTCACTTTGCTGCTGCTGCTGCTGCTGCTGCTGCTGCAGTGTTTGTCGCGGCTCGCAGCAGCAGCTAGACAAGAGTCGAAACACACTTTAGAAGCAGCAGAAACAAAAGACATCGAAGCGTTAGCTGCAGCTGGCAGCAAGCACAACACTGCAGCAGCTGCAGCAGCAGCAGCAGCAGCTGAGCAGCTGCTGTGGACTGCAGCAGCTGCTGCTCCACTCAGCAGCAGCAGCAGCAGCAGCAGCTGCTGCTGCTGCTGCGCATATATATCCACACGGTGGGAAGCACCGAATTGCTGCGCGTGTCTGCGTACTTAGTTGTGTCTGCTGGGCGCAGCAGCAGCAGCTGCTGCTGCTGCTGCAACGGCTGCTGCTGCTGCTGCTGCTGCTGCTGCTGCTGCAGCAAAAACGAACTTTAACTTCGAAATAAAAACGCGTCTGCTGCTTCTTAGCCAAGAGTTGACAT